CCAGCGCCAGCACCAGCTCTTTAAAAAAAACCCCAAAACCACCGACTCACCAACTGCTGCCAGGTGGGGGGGCAATCCCCGCTGCCCCCACTGCCCCACACTGTGTGGGGGGCTCTGCACGAGCCCCCTGAAGCCCCCAGGCCACTGCAGGAGTGGTGAGTCTTGGGGCTTTTCTCTGTTTTTTTTTCCTTAAAGGGCCGGAGCCGGGGTGCCCCCCATAGTCCCCTCTTCCTTCCTCCAGCCTCCCCCTTCCCCACCCACTACTTACCAGCACAGATTCCAGGTCCAGCTCCATGCTGCAGCGAGCGGGAACTACCCAAAGCACCGAAGCTCTCCAAATCTTTTCTGAATCAATTAGGAGAGCTTCAAATTGATTTGGACCTTTTCATTGGTTTCCTGATTCAATTCAGATTCAGAGATTCGTCCACTGAATCAGGCCAAATTTCCTCCAAATTGCATCAGTAGTCAAAGCTTCGCACAGCCCTAATATTAACTTCTTGTGCATAACAACACACCCACCTCCTGAGACAGGTGGAATGGACAGGACAAAGACTCTGTGCCTGCTACCATACCTCACCATTTTATGCTGCGATCAAATCAGATTTCTAAATCTGATAGGGATCTGATTGGCTCAATATTGGTGTGCAGAACTTAGGAACATCCAGAGGCTGCAGAAATAACGTTGGTGATGGAGTAGATAGCTCTTTTCCTTATAAGTACAAAATGACTCCACTGTCTGTCATCCTTCCCTCTTACACAGGCATAGTAAACAGCATCTCACACAGCGTTCCTGCAGTGCACAGGAAGTTTTTACTAAGGGTGCTGTTACAATTAGGATGTGCTAATAGGGGGAGAGGGGAGGTGGGGGGGCAGGGGCTGAAACCCCAGGGGACATGGGGAAGGTGAGCCCTGAGGGACCAATCATGGGTGGGGTGAATGGCAAGGGACTTGGGGCTGAGAGGTGAGCCCTAAGAGACTGGGAAGTAGGAGGGCCAGGGGTGAACCCTGTGGGGTCAGGGGTGGGAAAGAAGAGCCCCAGGAGACAGGGGAGGTGAGGGAGCCTGGAATGAGAACAAGAGGGAGGGGACTGAACCTGCAGAAGGGGAGGAAGGGGGGGAATTTTTACCTTTAGGACTCCTCACTCTCCCTGCTGCCACTTGGACCAGGAAAAGAGTGCCCACTGGGAGTGATGCCTCCTGGGATGCTGGAGGACTATTCCCAACTAACCTCATGGAACAGTCTGACATGATTGTGACAAAAGCTCCCTAACACCAGCTGAAGATAATTCTCACCTAAAGAGAACTATCACTGAGGTAAGCACAGGGTATTTAGCTCATCTTTCCCTGCTTTAACATGCAGACACTCCCATTTCAAGAGCCCTTAACACATGTGAAAGATAATGTGTAACAACAGTCTAAGGTACTCAACTTTCAATTTGCTGGATGCATCTACATGTGCATTAATGTGCTGTTGTTACTGTGCATTAAATTTAGTACCTCTAATATGAGGTACTAACTAAATGCGTCGTAATCAGCACTACTACACAGTAACACCAGCACATGGTATTTCGTGATGCTTAATGCACAGTAGACTAATTGTACTGTGCATTAGCATGGCTTTTGCCATGATGCAGTAATGCACGGTAGAATTAGTCTACTATGCATTAAGCATCTCATGTAGATACAACCACTGAAGCTTAATGCGGCATGCAATGTATGACAAAAACCCAGAATGAGAGAAACAAATAATTATTCATTCAGCAACGTAAAATGCTGTGGGTTTCACTCTTTTAGCATAACTTACTGGTTCTAGAGCCTCACCTTTGTGAACCATTATTTCTGATTAACATAATTTTCAATCATAAAAAATGAGTTTCCCCCTCCCCCCCACATTTGTATGGAATGAAGATTCATTTGGAATGTAAATGAGTGAGACCCCTCCAAATGAGCAATATTCAAGAAATATGCCAAGCCAGATGCATATTTCTAGGTCACTGATTCTCAACCAGGGTGCCACAGCACCATGGGCTGCTTCCAGATCCTTTCAAGGATGCCAGATAATGTTTATACTATTGGGTGCACAAACACGATTCACAAGATAAACCCACAGATTTCAACTAGGAATCTATAGTGTCAAAACACTCTGCCCTGCTGTGGTCTTTCTGAGTTCTTTGCAACAGAATAATTGATCTACTATTTTTCTGTGTTCAAAAATACCCAGTAAAGGCTAAGTCCTGGCATGTTCCAAGGGGTGCCTCGAGTCTATCTAGGGGGGGCCTCAAGTTTAAAAAGTTTGAGCCTGACTGTTCTAGGAACTACTCTGAATATTTTAATTAGAAATGGAAGAAGTGAATGCCTCATGGCATCAAAGTACAAAACCCATGTGGAAATCAGGTGGAAACACTAGTGTAACCAAGTCTCCTTAGTTTCCTTCAGTGGCAGGAGACTAAAGCCCTGACCCTTATTCTGATGCCATCCCCAGTCAGATAGTCACCGTCGATGCAATGGGGCCATTAAATCAATACTCCATGCTACAAACAAGTGTGAAAAGTGTGGTAGAGTAGTGATCAATGGAAGAGCACTCTCTTGTCTCCCTGACCTCACACATGTGTACACGCACACACTGGCTACAGTAATGGTTGGACACATGGGGAAGTAAATTGCTTTAGGAAATAGAGAAGAATAACATATCCCCCCTTCCCCGCCCGAGTCAGTGTGATGTAAGGATGAACTCTAGTTCCCAGAGGCCTGGGTTAGTGCAGCCACATGCAGCCACAGCCACACGCAGCCACAGCCACACGGCCACACCCAGTGTAAGGCTTTGAGTGTGTGTGTGTGTGTCCATATGGGAAAAAACTGTGCAACATGTCAGGTCAGATGACTGAATCTTCATGGCTCACCCAGTGATGTGAAGGACTCTCAAGCATGTGGAAGAGTCTGAGGTAATACTTGCTTTTTATTACTTTGTTTCAAACCTTATTCTAACCTCAAATTCAGAATAATTTGTTAGTTAAAAATGGAATAGGACACAGTGCCTTCCTCTGAATTCATCAAGGGCACTCATATCATGTGGACATTTTGAACCTGTTGTTCAAATCCTAAAATTGTAGACCACAGCTCATTTCAATAAAGTCTTTTATATTTAACCATATTATGCAATTATGGTTCTTTCTTGATTACTGTTTCCTTTCTCAACTCATGTTCAGAATATGACCTTCCTTACTAATGTCATGACAACTTTTTCTATGTATTTCAGTTATCAAATTATATCTGCTTAATATGTTTGAAATAAATGATGGAAATAAGATTTTTTTTTAGTGACAAATAATTGGGTTCTTAAAGTTCTGATTATGCTAAGTGCCTGAAATATGTGGGAGGCACTGTAAGCGAAGAAGCATAATTACCTATTCAAAAAGAAATGGTAAGTAGTTTCTACATAGACACTTATTTCATTTCCTAGTAAAAATTTCTACAACTGGCAATATATATCTTTTTAAATTATTCAGAACGTATACTAGTTTGGCTTTCTGTGTTTTGATATTTTAGGCTAAATCATTTTTTACTAAATATCAAACAATTATTATTGGAAGGATTATATTTATTCATATCATGTGTTTTTTATTTGATGACACTTCAGTTTCTACACATGCTTGAAGAAGGGGCATTTCTACACTATCGGCTCAAAACAGGAACTTATTTGGATGTTTCATGGCTGCCAGAGATTAATACGGATGTGACAGATATGGCTGCAGCTCCACTCTGGACAACTTCATTAGACTGAGATGTGTTTTGTGATGCAATGTTACCATTTAATGGGTCTGTGGGCTGTGTTTCTTGCTGTGCCTTGGTGAGATCTTTCTGGTTTGGATCAGAGTTAATGAATTTCTCCAAGCTGGATTCACTAGGAGAAGAGTCGAAAGTGATTACTTGTAGGACGATGGTTCTAGGAGTAGAGGGTCTTGGTACAGCTGTGCCATCACTTCCCTGACTACTCTCATTTTGTGTCCTTGCTGCTTCTTCCTGTAATTGTGCATCTGTGGACTTTCTGCTTTGGTCTTTTTGCTGTTCACCAACATTTCTCACAAGTTCTTCTACAGAAAGGGAACAAAATATGTAAATTAGATATGAAATATATGCCATAACAGATTTGATTTAAAAAGTGTGGCTGTGTGTTAGAGTTGGAGTAGGAAACATTGTGTCCATGTACTACAGCTGGAAACTCTTTTATCATTTTTAGAATGAGTACATGTGCACTAGTTTGTTAAAAGGGGGTTGGATTCTGGTCACAGTTATACAAGTGCAACTGAAGGTGTGGTGGCTGCCTGTGAAGCCTCATATCTCAACTCCAGATGGAATCTGTGCTTCCATCTGCAGCTGAAGTATGAAGCTTTCAGAGAACAACATCATATACATAGAAATAATGGTAACAGAGAGGGGCCACTCCTCCATGCAATCCACATTTAGCAATGATAACTAAGCAATCAGCACCAATCTCTATAACTCCCATGGCAGATAGGCTGGGAAAAGGGGACATCAGAAGTAAGAAGTGCTGTAGAAGCTCTGAAGGAAAAGGAATGATCATTTAAAGGAAAAGAAGGAAGAGCACTTTGGGGAAAGACACAAAACTGTTGGAACAAAAGTGAACTTAGGAAGAGAGAATTTTAGGGGTGACGCCGGTGTTAGTACAGTACTACGACTGTTGCTGATATAGCAGCAATAGGGCAGCAGGGGAAAAACTTAGGATAATAAATTACTCAGGGACAGAAAAGAAAGAAAAAGAAAAGGGGTCAAGAAAGGCATACCTCAGCTGTGAAGAGAACTAGAGAAAAACATTAAGAAGATGGCACAGAACTGAAAAGTGGGGAGTTCAGAAGGACAGAACTGAGCAGGAGACAGATCTTGGTAAGAGAAGCTGAAGGATGGAAAGAGCAGGTGACCGAGATTTGTGAAGGATGACAAAGAGCACACACTTTGGAAAGTATGCGGGTAACCTGATAAGTCTAGCTCCACAGACTCACAATCTACATGAAGGGCCAAATGGCAAATGTTGTCTGCTTCTTACTTTCATCTTTGGAATACCTCTGTATTTCCAAGAAACACGTAAATAGTGGAATGGACTGCCCAGGGAAGTTGTGAACTGTACATCGCTAGAAGTGTTCAAGAAGACATTGGACAGCCACTGGTTGGGGATGATCTAGGTGTAGTTATGCCTAGCTTCTACTATGGGTATTTTTCATGCTCCTGGGCTTTGCTGGTTGCCCTGCCACATATGTCAGGGTGTATCCTTTCTGCCACATGTGTCAGGGTGTTTTTAAGGTTTCCTCAGAGGGATTGGGTGTTGACTACAGAAAAGGCTGGGGACTTTCCAATGCTCCTGCTGGGACAAATGCCGGAGGTTTGTGGCTAGAGGGTCTTGCCCCTCTGCTCAAGATCAGACTGACTGCCATACTTGAGGTCAGAAAAGATTTCTACCTCATGGTCAGATTGGTATGGACTATGGAGTTTTGCCTCCCTCTACCTGGGATCTCTTGAGCATATATTGACAACATTTCATAGAAGCAAGATGTTGGCTGCCACCGTTTCCTTTCCCTGCTTTACCTATGACAGATTAGGGTATTAGGTCTGTTGTGTCAGGTTTAACAGTAATTTTAGGTAGAGTTTAGATTATGGATTGTATAGGGTGGTTTGGATAGGGATGATTGTCTATCCCTGAGGCAGGGAGTTGGACTAAATGATCTTTGGAGTTTTCTTCCAGTCCTACTTGTCTATGACTCAATGATTCTAAAATTCACAACCTCTAAAATCCATAAGGCCACAAACTCCCTGATTTTTATGTGACTTCTTAAAATTCACATTATTTTATGGTGCTCACCATTATTAAAAGAAGAAATCAGCCAGAACTATTGTCCCAGATCTGCTAGCATGATATTAGAGTTTAACTGGAACAAACTTTGGTTCTGTAATTGACAAAACCTAAACCCTGACTAAAGCTGATCATGTATTATTATGGAAAAGTAGACACATATCTGCAGCACAGTTTTTAATCACATCTTTCATGACCAGTATTTAAGGGTTCCATATCACAACTCTTCCGAATCCTCGGGGCAGGTACTTTTGGACCACAAATCAATCTATAATTTGGAGACGGTAAAAAATGTTCCCTCCAAATCTGAGAGAATTTCACTAAGATGTTGGAGCTCAACAAATTCTTCAAATTCAATTTCAAATTTGGTTTCCTGTCCAGATTTTTTACAAAATATTAGAGAGACTTCCTTCTGGATCATGAGCCTTGAGGGGCCTTCTGATCCCTGCCTAGCTGCTGTTTCTTCCAGAGACTAACATACAGCTGCTGGTCAGAACTAGCTGGATTAAAAGGCATTTAGAAATGTAGCTGTAGTTTGAAAGCAATTCGATGCAATTCTACCAAGTAATGCTCATTAAAGCAGCTGCTGTCCAGGTTATAAACTATCTACCTAAGTCTCCTGTCCCAAAGACTCTGATTTACATACCATGCTTGCCTGTGAATAAATGCTTCCATATGGCAGAGCTACAAGGGGTTTTCACTGACGTTATAAAAAACACCAGGAAATACCAACAAAAAAATCTAATCTAAATATAGTTAAGATACATAAATAAACTGAGGCGTAAACCTTAAGGGAATGTGTGGCAATCAAAATACAAGATGGAAAGAAGGAAATTTCGAATTAAGGTGATACTGATAAAAATCAGATGTTGGAAAGTATGTTCAACTAGGGTAATTCAAACAATTTGATGCTGCCTTTGCTGTGCTTCCAGAGAATGAACAGAAACTTGATATACTCCTCCCTCCATAATATAATATCGGGACAAAGTTAAGGTTAAGTGTTCTTAAAAAAAAGGGTGTCAATACTTTCCATTTTTTTAATGTTAGTGTATAATTTTAATATAGTATTCCAATTCTTTTTAAAAAGGTGTTTCTTTTTTACATTTCCAATACTTAAAAAGTCATACTTTTAATAACTAAATAATCTTACCTCAAAATTAACCTTTTCTTTTTTGGAAAAAAATTGAGAGCAGGCAATGCAATCTTCACATTCCTGAGATGGTATTTCAGGATACTTCAGAACAAAGATTTAGTTTGCTATGCTGTAATAGGTAGCTATGCTATTCATATTCAGAGGTGTAACTAGCCAGTATTGTGTCCTGGGTACGGTGGCACACAATACAAGAGCACTGGCTAGAGGGTCACAGGTGCAGGGAGGGGAGAGGAGTTGTCACTTTTTTTGCTGCCAATATATTCTGAACAGCCATTTAAACAGATTTTCAGTAGCAAAGAAAGGAGGTGGCATTTTCCACCTACAGCAGCAAGTCTCCAGCTGTGGCTCCTGCACCATGCACTCCCGCTGCTGCTCTGCTCTCACTGCTGCCAGAGCTGGAGCTGCTGTTTTTGCACAGGAGGTTCAGGGTGCACAGGGAAGGCTGAGAGGAGGGAACAAGGGATGGGAGGGTGAGGCACCACTTCAGCTCCATCCCGACACCCTACTTAGGCAGAACCTGAAGCTCATGCCCCACCACCCACCCATTGTTACACAACTGCCAACCAATCCCGTGTCTGACTGCCTCAATTTACAGAACCAAATATCTAAAATATTAATATTTGTTTCCTTTAGAAACTGATTAATTCTCCTCAATCTTGAGATGATAGAGGAAAAATAAATATTTAATTTGAACAATGCTGAAGGCCTGTTCTTATTATACTGGACTCTTGTTTTAAGACTGACTTTGAGTGACTGAGATCCATTACTGAGTTTTTGGTTGTAGCCCTGTTGGTCTAAGAACATAGGCAGGCAAGGTTCTTTGGTTAGATGTGATATCTTTTATTAGACCAGCTGAGTAGTTGGAAAAAAGGTCATAGCAAGCTTTCGGGCACAATCTCTGCAGAGACTCCCTATGCCTGATGAAGGGTGACTGCACCCGAAAGCTTGCTATGAACTTTTTTCCAACTACTCAGTTGGTCTAATAAAAGATATCACATCTAACCAAAGAACCTTGCCTGCCTAAGATCAGTTATTTATTTATCTAGGCATTTATACTAGGCTTATCGTACACATGTCTGAGTGCCTGGGTCATAGGACACCCTTCTTATGAAGTAGGAGAGTTACTATCCTACTGTGGCTGTGCCTCTCTGATCTTAGGGCTGACCCACAATGTAGAAGTTAACCAGTTTGAAACACCTAAGACTGTTTTCTATGGCAGGCTGCACTGACTAAATATCACAACTAAATTTATTTAGGTGCACTGGCCAAATATCAGCAAAACATCATATATTTAGTTACACTGGTGCAACTTTGTCCATAGACCATCTGTAAAAGAAGTTTGTATAAATGAAAACATTATTTCCTATTCTAAGTATGCAAAAAATAATAATAATCCGTGGAAATCTCAGAAATGTGGATTGGAAATGGTAGAGAAATTTTGACATTTTTATGATGACTATTCTGTGCCTACTCAACCTGACATCCTTCTTATCTCTACACTCAAAAAATGTTATTATGCAATGTCTTCTCTTCTACAGTACTATCACCCCTTAGCAAAATTTTAACTCAGTTTACACAGTAACAGGTCCTGGTCTGGCTCCTATCAATATTACCGGCAAACTACCACAAGCTTCAGTGACAGCTGGACCAGGGTGAGAGCATAATTTTTTGTCAATCCTCCCTAAGCCTGCTTGTGTTTTTCACCTTTAGAGAAAGCCATATTCATGGCTCCACTGGGGTTTATGCTACAGTTATTGCTTAATCTATCTTGAGACCTGAGCAGTGATTACCATTCCACAGTGATAAAATTTCCATGTCACTCTTAGTCAAAGCTGCCTGAAAAAAAGAGAAGTTATCTGTCTGTTCTGGAAAAGTTTCAGCAGGGCAACCCAAGGGACTGGTTAGTGCACAGGATTCACGTTGAGGATCATCATGTATGTACTGCTCTATGATGATATCATCACTCTCATTAGGACGCAAATTCCTCGTCCTCGGTATCATGTCTCTCATCTCTTGTATATCTGACTCTACGTCCTGACCCACTTTGCTCCATGCAGCTTCATTCCCTATGAAATCCTCTGCAAAAGAGGAACAGAAAGAGATAAATAAAACTAGATCCTAAACAGATACAGTTTCTTAGCTATGTGTGGATTATGCTATATGCTAATGAGAAAACATCATCTGTGGCTACCCATAACAATGAAAAATATCCTTTTTGTGTAGGAGCTATATGTTTATAGTGAAGGATTAATAAAGGAACATAATCAAAGTTGTTTGCTGTCTAATACTAACACCCAGCTATCTCATCTGATCACACTGGTTTAACAGAAAAACTAGTCCTAAACGATGCTGGAGTTTGGAAGGGAGCTTTCTGTCTAAAATTTAACTGGGGCAAGTTTCAGGTGGTATTGGTAGGGTAACAGAAGTAGGGCTGACATTTCAGTTCTGTAGTAGTCTCTGATTCTGCTCACTCAGCAGCTGGGAGCTCTCACCACAGTGGCTTTGCTGAGAGCCTATACTAGCAAGACTCTGACCTAGTCACCCTGTAGCACAGTTTTTAGGAGAGTAAAGCTCTGTCCCTTTAAAAGCACCTACTACCAAGGGCAGCCAGAACCAGAGCTCAGAAACACTGCATCCACTTGGCTCTAGCTTGATCACTTCCAGCAAGGGGTGTCTGCCACATAAACATGCACCCTGCTTCTCTCATCACCCTGTAGCAGCCAGAAGCCAGCTGCTTCTCTCCCTGGAAAGCTGGATCAAAATCCCTAGCATTTTCCTTTGGGGAAATGCAACTAGGTGGTTGGCAAAGAATATATTGACAGCCATCATTGTGGGAGTATATATAGCAAGTGTGACAGACTGGCATGGTAGAGGACTTGTTAGACCCTTGGTTGTTCCTAGATAATGACAAACCAGTTTTTCTCCATTTGTTCCTGATGGAAAAGCTTTAACTTTTCTTATTGACTCTCTCTCTCATTGAAGTTATCTAGTCTTTGGAGACCTCAATCAAGACTACAGAAATGCATTCTCTGTGGAGAGCACACAAAGCTGGAGCTAATACAGACAAAATGTAGCCAGTCATTTATGAAGCAATGCTATAGGTAGAATACATTACTGTTGTTATCTGCCATGAACACTGGCTTCCAGAGCTTTAAACTTCCTAACTTGCCAGGATCCTTACTTTTGTGGACTACTTTGGCTATTAGGTAGGGAGAAGGATAATTGTGGCTGTTATTGTAAGGGCATGAGGCATAACCAGTTCAGGATATATATCAGGTCTACTAGAACACTTAAAAAACCCTTTTCCCTGCCTTGTAAGAGATCAGTGATATTCAGTGAGCTGTTTGTTTCTTTGCAATGGAAACTACTTCTCTGATTGGGATGGTTCAGACATTATACAAATACTTTTTTCTGGGCATACGGCTGTGCATGCCATCCATAAACGACTGTGGGAGAGAGAAAAAAAAGAAAAAGAGAAGGGAGCACCTACTTAGTGCACTGTCTTCTTCTATTCATGTCAGTGTCTATCAGGTGGCATCCCCTGCCAGAAGGCTACTGGGTGTGAAGGCTCAGCTGTAAGATCTGTCTTGGCAAAGTCTATACTTTGCTCCTTTTAGTATGTGGGCTTTAAACTACAGCCATTTATATTTCTGGGCTCTTTCTAATATAAAATTTAAATCACAATATCCCTAAAATTACTAAAATTAACAGCTATACTCCTAGTACTTCAAGTATGCTGTAGCTTTTTCAAAATAATTTTGTTTTGTTATTTCATATGCAGTATGATCACCAGTCACAAGCAGAAAACAGTGATCTGTAGCCGAGACCTTGACTGTGCAGTTGCTACTGTACAACTAAATGACTGTGCAGTAATCCAAGTTATTGTACAGTAGCACAAATTAACATCTTTTTTGTGATGCTACTGCACAGTAGCCTACTATTACTGTGCTGTAGTGTCATGTCATGGTTGTTGCCACACAACACTACTGTGCAGTAGTACTGGGCTACTGCACAGTCAGTGTCTCGTATAGATGTGGCCTGTGTGTCTGAAACAATGCAAAGTCATTGGCCTTCAACAGCTGCCTCAGACATCTTCATTAGTGCAGGGAGTTTCTTTTTCCTCCCATTTTCTGAGGGTTTACTCTTTTCTCCATAAAGTCTTACATGCAGTCACCTTCTTTCTGGTTCAGCAAGTCTGAGACTGGAAATCAAGCCCTGATCTTTTGCATGTCAGTGTAGGATGTGATTATTAGTCCTGCCTTCATGGTTGTAAATTTGACTGGAAAGGCATCCGTAATATTGATCACTTAACCATTCATTTTTAATGTAACCATTTATTTTTCTGGATAGATATGGCTTCCTCTCAGACAGGTTGTTTTAAAAATAAAATATTAAAACACCCCATCCTGTTTCTAATGATAGTTTATAATGCCTTATCAGAATTTTCCAGTTCAATAAGGCTGGCAGTGTCTTGCCTTATTGCTGGTTACACCAAAAAAAACCTTGAGCCCTTTCCTTAGTTGAAATTCTCTTATCCAAAAGGTGACTTTCATTTTCTCATTGTTGTTCAGTAAGTAGAAACACAGACCTCCCTTCATCACTGTAGAGGCAAAGGCACTGCAAGTAGCACAGACAGTTTTGCATCCTACTAAGCCACTGAAGCAAAACAATAAGATAATATAAGCTCCCTTCAGAAGTTAGACTCCTCTAGCTAGAAACCAATTTGCACCTATGCATAAACATAAATTTGTCTCTGGATTTATTAGCATTTTACCCAGGTGGAAATGTAAGGATTACCATATGACTCTGTTGTTTCCATAATATCACTGTCTTGTGGCTGTAGGAGCTCTGATGGGTCTGCATTATAAACTAAAATGTTGACTTCCATTGGCTCAGCTATATTACTATCAGAAGACTGTGGTACAGAACTAGCTGGAACACTTGCTGGTGGAGTTGAGACAGGATAGGGTTTAACAGATTGTGAAGAACTTTCTCTACAGCTTGGTACTGTCTCCTGTACTTCTGCTCTTCTCCTATCTTGGATTGCAGATCTTTCGTTTCCTGAAATATGAAGGTGAATAAGAAAGAAAATATACCTTCAACCACCATCATCTATTATAGGTCTTGTAAGATATTACTAACTAAAATTACCACACTGCTAGAGAATCTACTAACAAGTCTTGGTGTACAGAAGAAAAAAATAGAAAGTCAAGGTACCCTGAGTACATCTAGATACAGCTTATATTACAGTGACTTAAAGATATTTAAAATCTTATACTGTAAAACTCCAGTAGATCAAATTGTTGCAGAATCTAATTGTTCCTTCATTATCAATTGCAGCAGATAAATGAAATTAATTTACTTAATGCAACCACAGTGGCACTGAAGCAATTTAAAACTAACAGCTTACTAAATTAGAGAAACAGAAGAGTCTATTTCCAGTGCAGGTGTGATTATTTTAGGGATTATAATGATTAGTACTTTCCAAGTACAGACTCCATTTTGATTGTATTACTTGTCTGCCTTCTTTGCTATCTTTTTACCTCTATTTTTGGACCAAAATTTCAAGGGCTGTCATAACATGGTCTGTAGACATTGATGCTCTTCTATCTTAACAGAAATCAAGAACAAAGAAAGTGGCTAGACAAAGAAAATAAGTTTTCTCAGGCTGGTAACTGAGAAATGGTCACATAGGTGGACTGTTGAAAACATGACAAGGCAGTCTCTTACTAGCCATCTTAGAAGGATGTAGAAGAAACAAAAAGCCAAAAACAGGGGTGAAGGAGGAGAGACAAGACCATCCTGAACAGTCTAGAGGGCTCTGACTTCAGTTCAAACAATATTCCAAGAATCAAGGGGAAATTGAAGCAGGAGAGGGCACTTAAGTGGAACTCTTATGTCTCTTATTGTGCCCATTTTGCAAAATCTTTGAGCTTGGTGCTTCAGCTACTATGTCTTTCTATAGAATGAAGAATGGTAAATCAGAGTGTCCGTGAGGTTGGAGCTTTGGGAAATGCTGTACTTAAGCCATTTGAATGTCCTGGGAAATCAGCTGATGCTGGGGGTCCCAGGCTGTTAGACCTTGAGATGCCCAGGAAGTATGCTACAGAAACAGAGTGAGTGAGACAGAGAGCAATATGTAGTGCTAGAACCTACATTAAGCAAGAGAAGTTGGTTGTGGGCCCATCTTGTGCGGTTCAAAAACCCTATAACCTTGGTGAGTGCTCAGAAGGGACAGTTTGACCAGGCCTAAAATTACAGCACCTATGATATACCCTGCTCATCTTGACCATTGGCAGTAGGCAGGACATTTTATTTTTTTTCTCTATAATACAGTAGAGAGTTGATTATCTAGAAAAATCAATTAACCAGAAGGTTTTGTATTAACATCAGCAGCAGCATGAAGTTGGGTTTGTTGGTGAGACAACTGTCCACTATTTACTTACTAGTGCTTTGACATTTTAAAACACTGCACAATATTATACATGTCTTTCTTGCTGGTTTTAATATTTGCTGTACAGTACATTATAGTTTTCAGCACTTCATACTGTGGTGTTTATCTAAAAATTATTTGGAATTATTGTGACACTATGCCAGATCATTCAAGGCCTACTGTATTTCTATCATTAGGGACTTACTGAAACTAATTCACAGATTTTGTGGGAATCACAAAATCTGGCATTGCCCAGGAAAGTGGGCAATGTCAGCGAAATCTGTGAAATCTGCAGGGGGGGGGCGAAGGCAAACTTACTGAAATTAAAATACTGGATTCCCCAAGGGAGCCAGCAGTGCTTACAATGCTCTGGCCCAGCTCCACAGCCTGCCAGAAAGGGAAGGTGGGATAGAAAGGGTTTGCTCACATATAAAGACCAGCCCAAGACAGCTGCTGCCTCTGTGCCTTGCTGCTGATTGGCTGAGCGGGCTGCCTGTCATGTAGCCCTGCTCCACTCCACCAATCAGCAGCAAGGGGTGGGTCTTCATGACGGACAGCCCTCACAATCAATCAGTGGTGATGGGCTGGGCTGGATGATGGACAGCCTTTGCAACCAATCAGCAGTGGAGCAGAGCTACTGGGGCCCTTTGGCCAATCAGAGGCACGAGGGGCCCCTGCTGTGATCAGCCCAAGAAAATGATGGCGGGCCCCACAATTTCCCCACTGAATCAGCTAGCCACTTACTTGAGTTAGGTAGATCCCTACCTATAATCCATATCTTAACCTTTTGTGAATGTGTGTGTGTGTGTGTGTGTGTGTATGCATGCACACATACTCACATCTGTACAAATACACATACAGCCTCCTCCTCACTTCCAGTTTCTGAAACAAAGTTTATCACAGTATATGACATTACAAATACCATAAATTCTATTATGATGTTTGTAATCTGTGGCACAGATTACAAAGGTTTGTTCAAAATGAGTGCTGAATGGCTGCCTAATGCTGTTAATAAAAACATTTAGCATCTAGGGCTTAATTCTACTTTTAGTTTTCTTTTGGAGTTGAGCCTTTAAGTGGCAGTCCCTTAAAAAGATTAGGACATTCAGAGTGTTGTAGAGAATGGGAAAAAATATTTTAAAGGAACATACTAAGGAAATGGCTAAATAATTCACTTTCAGACTGGATGTATCTACATAGTAAGTTCATGGGTACATAATTATGCATACAGAATAATATATTTTTCCAACCTAATAATAATGATCTAGAAATTAGAACTTTGGATCATAGTATCATAGGAAAATAGGTCTGGAAGGGACCTTATGGGTGTGTCCAGATGACCTTATGGGTGCCTCCAGATGCGCAGGAATGTGCGTTTCCCTGGGGACAAGGAGCAGTGGCACATCTTGTGCTGCTGCTACTTGTCCCTGGCAAAAGCCCATGCCACACGCACTCTGGCATGAGGCAGGTTACTCCAGGTGGGGTAGGGGAGGCTGCAGCCAGCAACTGTGCTGGCCCCAGCAGCCTTATCTTGGGATCTGGGGGCCTCTGGAAGCTGCAGCCGCCTGGGCAGTGGCTGGAGTATGGCTTCAGCCAGCCAGTCCCCCATTTTTGGCAGTGTGCGCTGCCACCATGAGCGCTATCTCATTTTTTACATGATTTTTTTTTTTTACACCAGAATCTCCGAGGGTTACCTCCCCCCTGGCCCCAAACTGCAAAGTAGCAAAGCAGGGAACACCTGCATGTGTGGTGTGTCACGCCGCAGATGGGTCTGTGGTGCCACATGCCTCATGTCCATGCTCATCTGGATGTACCTCATGGGCGCATCCAGACGAGCACACACGTCCCTGTTGCCCCACCTCAAAGCCCTTTGAGGTGGGGCAACAGGTACATGTGGAAATGAAAAAATGTTTAAACTTGCAGTGTGGGGAGAAAATTAGACCCCTGGATATCCAGGGGTCTAAAAAGCCACTCTGCAATAGAGTGGAGCAAGGCACGGTTCAAGACTGTGCCTGGAGCCAATCCTCCAAAAGAGACACTCTGGTTTTGGCCAGAGCGTCTCTTTGTCTCTTTAGTGTTCCTGCTGCCCCCAGTGCTGTTCAAGGTAAGTTGGGGGGGTGGGGGTTTCATGGGTGTTGGGGGGGTGAGGG